ACCAGGGATCGAACCTGTGTCCCCTGCATTGGCAGGAGGATTCTTAAACACTGCGCCACCAGGGAAGTCCCTCTCTCCTATAACTTTAACTGTAACTTCAATCTTCAAATTTGTGTACTTCACATTCACGTCCTCTCTAAAGTCACCATAAAGGTCTATATGTAATAAACGTTATCAAAATTTTAAGAAACATCATCCACATCTCAAATAACAGCAACATTTCAAAGTCAACCTAAAAATGAAATACTACTCTGAACAGAAGGGATCTGTTTCCCAAAAACAAATGAAAAGCAGGAGGTTTAAATCAAACTTTAAAGCATACTCTTAGCCATCAACTGAACCACTGGAAAGATACATGCCAACAAGAACACAGTATTGCCTTAACCGTAGGAATAGCTTCACACATCCCTTATCCACACTACGATCTAAATGCATACTATTAAAGCCACGACATCAGCCGTCCATATTAATCACTCACCAATTTAATTAAAGTAAACCAGCTTGTCAGAAAGCTTGCCTCTTCTCTATTTCTTAACATTATTGACTTTTAATAGTTCATTGAAATAGTAATTACTTGTTTATGGCATTATCAAATGTCTTGGACACAAAAGTCCAGCGTGTGGCAGGGTCAGTTACAGACATGTCCTGATGGCAAATGAAAGGAGAGATTTAACCCATCAAAGTGGCCATCTAAAGAACAGAACCTATTATGCCTTTCTCCAGACGCTCCTGGTTAAATTCAAAGTGACAGGACAAACCAGATCAAAACTAAACAGAGCTAGAAGCAACATACAAAATCCTAATGAACCCTCAGAAATCCAGGTATCAATCTGTCAATATCTAAGCTCAATTAGTCCTTTCAGAACAAAATACCTCACGAGGTAACAAGAAACTAGTTTGAGGTCCTGGCTATGAAAAGAATAAAACCAGTCACTTTACTGCACAGCATATTGCTAAGTGCAGTCATATCTCAACATGGAGATCTTGGGAGGATTAAATAAAGATGTGAGTCAAGTACCTGTCTACTCAGTCCAGGAGCTGGCACTAACTAGTGTTCAGTAAATGTTAGTCCTTCCTCGATCCTTTGAGAACTCAGGCCTATCAAGTCAAAATCAATGGATGGTTTAAAAAAAGCAAATCAAAACAAACAAAAACTTTAAATGGAGATATAGACAACATATCTTAAAAGCACTTAATGTGGGCTTCCCTGGTGGCACAGTGGTTGAGAGTCTGCCTGCCGATGCAGGGGACACGGGTTCGTGCCCCGGTCCGGGAAGATCCCACATGCCGCGGAGCGGCTGGGCCCGTGAGCCACGGCCGCTGAGCCTGCCCATCTGGAGCCTGTGCTCTGCAACAGGAGAGGCCACAACAGTGAGAGGCCCGCATATCGCGCAAAAAAAAAAAAAAAAAAGCACTTAATGTTAAAAAAGTAGCAAATGGGATCGTGAAAATGAAAAATAGATACTGAAAACATTTCTGAATGGCTCATCCTTCATGGTCATTTGCAACCTTCATATTTTGTGAAATCATCTTCAGGGATGAGCTCTGACAAGAGCTAAGCCAGATGCAAACTGATTCCATCAGGGGGTGAGACTTGGCAATGTTTGCAGCCAGTGAAGTTTCCCTCCTGAAACCATCACCACTGGGCACACTTTGGGCTTTCAGCAACTCCAGTTTCCAAACAAACCAGTAACACAACTAGAAGGCTAATTTTTTCATTAGAATTGTTAAGAAACCAGGAGTTTAATAAATCATTTGCCTTCAAAGGGAAAAAAATTACTTTCTAACACACATAATATTTCTTCTGGTTCTAAGAAAATGAAGCTTAGTTATTTACGAACTGAAAACTGTAATACTATAGTGAAGTCTTTTTATGGCTCACGAATGAAATGTTTAAGAAATAAAGTTATGTGAAGAACAGGACTTGGCCTAAGCAGTCTTGAGGTCAAGTACTAGTGCTGCCATTTACTATATGACTTGCAGGAAGTTACTTAACGTCTCAGGGACTCAGGTTCTTGTGTGGTTCTTTTCAGCTCAAAAGCGGTATGATTACTTACAATATCTGATACTCCTCAGTGCCCCCCCTCTCTCTATGTATATGCTTACCTATACATGTACCTTTATTAAATAATGCAGACATATTTTTTAAGTTGTAGTAACTTAAGGCCCACTGTGAAACAAAGAGAGTGTGTACGTGTTGGGTGTTCTGACCCTGAATACCATTCTCAATGGTGAGGGCATTTACAAAGCCTTGGGACACCTGAATTAACCAAGTAAGCCTTTAAACCCTTACAATGAAACATTAAAATTCAATGTGGCTATAATCTCTTCCTTACAAAACATGGACCCAAAGAGTCTGCCTTCAAGTATGGTTTCAAAAAAAAAAAAAAAGGCAGATGTATTATATTCACCACCCAGCTCTTCCCTATGACCACATAAAAAAACACAAATGAAAACTCACAGGCCCCATTGTAATACATTGTACCACTTCTGAATGCAACACTTAGCTCAGGCTTACTACCCTGACAAATAAAGGAAAGCATTTTATGAAGCCAATTTAATTGGGAGGTGACAGAAAACATACAGCCATTTTCTTCAGCCTTATCATTGAACTGGCTTCAGCTCCAATCTCTGGCAAATCCCACTCAACAGAAGAAATTAACCAGGTCAGCAGAACAGGTGCTACGTTGTGTCTGTCAAGGGCCTGGCATCACCACAATTACTTGCACACAATGAAGCAGTAATCTTTACAGATCATCTCTCCCAAGAAGCATATTGGGGAGGGGGAGAAAAACTGAAGGGAGGAAGGCAGGGTCGGGGCAGGGGGGATGGTAGTGGGAAGAAGAGGAATAGGAGGCAAAGAGAAAAGGCAAGAAAAGAAAATGAATGTGCAGCTGCCTTGCGGCTCAGCAGATGTCGGGATGTGATGTACGAGGCTAGGATAAGCTGTCGTAGCCTGCTGCCAAAGAGTGGTAAGTGATTAAAGCCTGCACACTTCTAAGCACCATATTTAGAATCTGCAGGGTTTCGAGACTTGCACCCATTCCTTGCTGTGCTGCCAGATGTTGGCAACTGGTCCAGTTCCTACTGACTGTGCATGGATGGCAGCAGTTGGTACGGCAGCAAAGCAATCTGGAATGCTTCCGGAGATGCTGTACATTAACAAGTGTCACCCATCATTCACCTTTACAGAAGGCTGAAACAACTCCAATTTGCTGCCACTTCCCTCTTGGGAAACAGCCAAGATAAAGTTGCACCTGGCAGCCCCATTTGTTTCACTCAGGTGTTTCAGCTGCCTTGCTGACCTCTATTAGTTTAAGTTTTAATTTAGATTAACCCCAGCACCCCAATTAACCAGCAAGGGTAAAAGCTAAGATGTGACTAGTCATAACTGAAATCAGAATTTATCAAAGTTAAAATTATTAATTGGGATGAAGGGCCAATCAAGTAATACTATTTCTTTTTCAGCAGACCTCCAGGCCAAAAAAAAAAATATATATATATATATATATATATATATATCTTTCAGACTAAGGATTGCCAGTAGAAGCAACTTCCCCCCCCAGTAATTTCAGTTTATTTTATTAAGCCTATTTAATTTATGATGCACTTTCCATTGAACAACATACACTTCAATTAATGAAGACGGGAATATTTTTGATTGTCTCCCATGATCTCACACAATTATACAGCATTAATATCCCATATCAGGTACTTCCTTAGACACTCTAGAACAAAACAGAATCCCCTACTCTTCTGACAAATGGATATAATAAGAGAAGAAAAGGAAAAAAGAATCAGGACCTCTGACTAGGAACACCTGGGGCCACATCAATCCTCTTTCCTATACCTTCTCATCATTACTTTTGAGACTTACAGCAATAATTTTATTGAACATCACAGAGTGAACAGCAAGATTAATAAAAAGTCTCTCTTTTTTTTTTTTTTAGGGCAAAACCAGAGGCATCCCCAATATAGAATCACTTGTCCTACTTGCTTCACAGGGTAATTTTCCTAAGTTCCTTCCTTCGTATTCCATATACTACACAGTACTGTCGTCATAGCTAAACCTCCAACAAGCACCTGTAAATTCTTCGGCAAAATTTAACACTAAAAATTCAGCAGAGGAAAAAAAATTCACCTTGATAAAATAATGGCTCAATCAAAACTGGTTTATCACTGCTGAGCAGCATCCTCAACTCTCCAGAGCTAGAGGGTACATCCTAAAGCACATTTCATTAAGAAGTATGACTTAACAAGAGACCCAGGATTACAGGAAATTATTTTAGTTCTTTAGAACAGCCCAGGTGTTTAGTCTACCTTAACGGTCACCACCATCATCAAAAAGAGCAGCACGACAGCAGATCACAGCGTCAGGGAAAGAACGGGGGAAATGTTTGTGAAGAGATATTGAGAACGGGACTAGATTTCAATCTCTAGCAATTCTTTCTGTCTTCAAAGCACTACACTATTATTATAATCAACAGTAGCAGACAATCTCAATAAATATAAATACTTAACTGATGTGAACATGCACACATACACAGAAGTTTTAAGAGAATAGACTTAATAGGTTAATAGAACCAGAAGTGCAATTCAAGAATTCTGGGATCCCGGCCCTTCAGCTCCATATCCTTATCTAATAGTAATAGGACAAGAAACCAACCAAACAAACAAAATCCTCCATTAACATCATCAAAAGCTGCTGAGAGAGAATAAACCACCTGATGCAAAGAAGTTGAAACTGTTTTACAAATAATTCACACTCTGCATCAACTAACAACGTAGCTGTAGCTATATTCATTTCAAAAGGAAAAATATAAAAGTAAAGCAATAAATCCAGAACTACACAGTAAGTCAATTCTGAACACTAGAGTTCTAACTCCCTATCTGACTCTATCCTTCCAAAGTAAGCTATCTTTTGGTCAGAGAATTCTATCAGCTGTTTTAAAATGCTAAAGCCTGATTTATAACTAAAGAAAAGAGTGTAAAAATCATACCTGGTGGTAAAAGTCATCATCATCAAAGATTTCTTCATCCACGTCCTTCAGGTGGGCACTGGCAGGGGCTTGAGGAAGGATCTCCTATATCAATGAGAAGGAGTGAATCCCAATGAGGTTACCAAAGTAATTCAGCTACTATAAATAATGTGTATAACAGTCAAAGCACTATTTTCCTTAAGATATAAAAAGCTCTTCAAATCAAAGAACAAGGATTTCCCTAGTGGTGCAGTGGTTAAGAATCCACCTGCCAATGCAGGGGACATGGGTTCAAGCCCTGGTCTGGGAAGATTCCACATGCCACAGAGCAACTAAGCCCATGCACCACAACTACTGAGCCTGTGCTCTAGAGTCCGCGAACCACAACTACTGATCCCTTATGCCACAACTACTGAAGCCCACGTGCCTAGAGCCCGTGCTCCACAACAAGAGAAGCCACTGCAATGAGAAGCCCATGCACCACAACGAAGAGTAGTCCCCGCTCGCCACAACTAGAGAAAGCCTGCGCACAGCAATGAAGACCCAATGCAACCAAAAATAAATTAATTAATTTTAAAAAATTGAAGAACAAAAACAATGCAATTGAAAAATGGGCAAAACATTAATAGGCACTTGACAGAAAAAAAACACAAGCAGTCAACAGTTATATAAAAATATGTTTAATCTAATTCTAATTAAATACATGCAAATTAAAATGAGAAGACACCATTTTTCACCTCTAAAACTGGCAATCTTCAGTAGGAAAACACAGCTGGTGGGATTGGAAATTAATGCAGCCTTTTTGAGGCAATTTTACAACATCTATCAGGATTTAAAATGCATACTCTCTTTGATTTAACATTTCCACTTCTAGAAGTCTATCCATATGTTCACACAAATACAAAAATAAAAATGCTCAGGAATGTTTCCTATAGCACTGTTTCTAAAACTAGAGACAACATAAATATCCACTGTTCAAATAAGTTATAGTACACATCCATACAATGGAATACTCTAGCCATTAGGAAAAATGAGGTAAATCTCCATGTAATGACATGGAAAAGTATCTAGAATAATTAAGAAAGTTGTAAGATTTTACATATAGTTTATAACATTTTATATATTTATACACACACACATATATATATCCAACCCATTTAGTTAAAAAAAGACAACCATATTTTTATAAGTGCGTACGTGTTATATGCGTGCGTGCGTGCGTGCATGCGTGTGTATTTATATATACAAATAGAAAATACCTGAAAGTGTGTTACAACTATGAACATTGGTTAAACCTGAGGAGTGGAGTTTTTAGACTAGGGGGAATTTTACTTTTCATTTTAAATTCTTCTGAACTTAAAAAATATATTAAGTATATATTCCTACTATAAATAAAAGAGTTTCCTTTAGACAGAAGAATCTGCCTATTTCAATTCTGGATCCTCTTCTGGAGCGTCTAAACATCCAAAGGAAAGCCTAAAGTACACGCTTGCTTCGATACTGGCATTTCTAAAGAAAAAACTTTAAAACTGAATTTAAAAAATTGGATTACAGGGCTCCCCTGGTGGCACAGTGGTTAAGAATCCGCCTGCCAATGCAGGGGACACGAGTTCGAGCCCTGGTCCGGGAAGATCCCACATGCCGCGGAGCAACTAAGCCCGTGAGCCACAACTAATGAGCCTGCACACTAGAGCCCGTGAGCCACAACTACTGAAGCCCACATTCCTAGAGCCTGTGCTCTGCAACAAGAGAAGCCACTGCAATGAGAAGCCTGCGCACTGCAACGAAGAGTAGCCCCTGATCACCGCAACTAGAGAAAGCCCGTGCACAGCGACAAAGACCCAACACAGCCAAAAATAAATTTAAAAAAATTTATTTAAAAAAAAAAAAATTGGATTACAAATGCTTCCGTGACCAGACTCAGATCAAACTCAAAATTAAGAGAAGGCTACACACAATAATAGCTTTATTTTTTAAAAACTTTCCCCTCCCACATATTCTCAGTTTCTCAACAATCTAGGAAAGTAGTGCTTTTTTCCCTTTCTTTCACTGACTTCTTATACCCAGAGGAATACCTACAAGGAGATGATAAGATTTTTCAGTTAATTAGCCTCCTAGAAACTGCTCCCATAATCACCATGCATCACAGTTCTTACCGGCTGTCCTGGCAAACTCTCTGGGACAGGCTGGGCTGCCGGCTCAGGTTTGCCAAGAACTCGGTAGATAGAGCGCTTGGTCTGTGTCCTTCGAAGTAATCTTTCTTTGTCCATCAGAATATGATCAATCTGAGTCAAGATTGAACGTTCAAAGGCACCAAAACCCTGCAACAACATTAACCAGTGTCAGACAACATGGAAAGTCTCTGCTGAAGGCAGCTATGTTGGTTTCCCTATTTTTCTGTGTCAGCAGAGAAACAGACAATCCTCCTTCCAGGAGGGACTTTCTGTTAAAGACTGAGTTTGTGAATGGTTCTAACTGTTCTCAGAAAAAAAAAAAAAAATTAGTCCCTAAGCAGGTCATATTAGTTTCCTATACCCACAGATTAACCTCTGCTCCTTTAATAATAATTGTTTTAAAGTCCATTTCTTTAAAGTATTTGTATTTCCAACACTTACAAGACCACAACTTCTAGAATAAAATACTTTTTCTAATAAAGTTGAAATCCCACGCTTGAATGGTATAAACCCCAATGGATTAGGGTTAGGGTTAGCGTTAGGGTTCAGTAAATTTTTCTACAGAAGTGACTGATTACTATGACACTGAGGCATCATCCATATAAGGGAGCTGTACTTCCAATTTCTCACAGCTGCTTCAGGTTGCCATGACCTGCTTTACACACATGAGTGCACACACTTGCCTTCCCCAGTTTTCCAGAAGCCAGCTTGGTCTTATCATGCCACTTCTGGAGCGTACGGTTCCTGTAGACAGTGAAGTCGGCGAAGCGCTTCGCTATGAAGCTGGGGTAGTCCTCAGTCTCCAGCTTCCTCTTTGCTGGGGCCCTCCTCTGCTGCTGCTGCTGCTTCTCTTCTATGAGCTCTTCATCTTCACTGGAAATCTCCTCCTCACTGGAAAACCAGTAAGAACACTGAGTCCAATGTAAATAAACGTTACCTAAATAAAAACTTAGGCGTGCGACTTCCCTGGTGGTGCAGTGGTTAAGAATCCGCCTGCCAATGCAGGGGACACGGGTTCGAGCCCTGGACTGGGAAGATCCCACATCCCACAGAGCAACTAAGCCAGTGCGCCACAACTACTGAGCCTGCACTCTGGAGCCCACGAGCCACAACTACTGAGCCCTTGTGCCACAACTACTGAAGCTCACGCACCTAGAGCCCATGCTCCGCAACAAGAAGCCACCGCAATGAGAAGCCCATGCAACTGCAACTAGAGAAAGCCCACACGCAACGAAGGCCCAATGCAGCCAAAAATAAAATTAATTAATTAATTTTAAAAAAACAAAAACAAAAGAAACCTAGGCCCACATGCAGTCAAGAGTATTTGGGCTTTCCCTATGCTGTCTGCATCTTAAATAGCACGGGAGACGTGAGGACGGCTTTTTTGTTGTTGTTGGAAGAAAACATTCGTGAGGTCAAACAAAAATTCATGTATCTTTTAAAATAAATATAAAAATAGGCGGTTTCAAAATATTTTTTAAAAAGTAAGCCAACTATAAAAATAAATGAGGTTGTTAAAAACATTATTAGAAATGCACATGAACCAGGCCTATACTGCTACAGGAGGGTCTTTAAAAATTAAACATATAATCATACTTTTATGACCTCAATCCCCAAATCAATAAGGGAAATATGTCTCCCTGTAACCAACTACTCAGGAAAGCTGAGTAATATTGGTTGAACCAAACGAAGAGAAGCAGAATGTGAAGAAAACTCAAAGAGGTAGGCCACAGAATCCGAGCTAGGCTGTAATACCCTCAACTGTGTGAGAGAGCACTAGAGCCTACAGCTACGGAGCCAGCTACACTGCCTGGACTACCGACCCCAGCGCACAGGAAGTGCTTACTAAATGTGAGCTCCTTTCCTTTGTCATTCCAACTAATTCAGTAGAAGGGTATGGAGCAGAGGGGAAGCCCAACGGAAAACAACAGGCAGGTACCCTATGAAGAAGGCTCAAACAAAGGGGGGAGGTAGAGGAGAACCTTCATCAACTGTGATAATTTCAGGCAGGGAAAAAATGTTTTCTTCTGCTATTTCCTGAAATTTTTCCACCCTTCGCAATAACTGCTTCTTCCTTCACTGAAAAGTCGACAGTTGTGACTGGCAATTCCATGTATGGGCAACAAAGTGCTTCATAAACATTAATTAAGCGTTCATGTTAAAAATGTGCTTTCACCTGTAATCTCACTAGATCGAAAAAGAAGGCAAGATTTTTGCAGAAGCTTACAAAGAAGCTTAGGCACAACTATGCATAAAAATCCAAAACCTAATTCCCAATTTATGTGTCATCCTGGCCACCAATTAAACGTAAGAGGCTCTTTCCATTTTACTAACATTAAGTCCGGTATCTGCCTGGAAAGGACGTGACTTTCTTTTCCATAAATAATGGGAAACCATTCAGATGAAAAGAAAATAAGCAATTCCATAGTTTCATTCCCTCCTTACCTTTCTGCTTTGGGCTTTGTCCCATCTACTAGATATCTAGTGTCTGGATACTGGAAAAGCAACTCTTCCTGAAGATCTACCAATGACCTCAACAATGCTTTAAGTGCCTTGTGACCTGGGAAATAAAGCAGAGGGAAGGAACAGTTAATTATCTACAGTTCTCCAAAGTAGGTGATGCCTATGACGCTGGACTCCTGAGCAGTACTGGCCGAGGGGGTGGGCACAGGGTACGCCGGGACTGAAAACTCTCTGAAATACAGAATTCCTGAAAGGAAATAATAACAGTGCTCCAGGAAATAATAACAGTGCCTACCTCACAGGGTCGTTGTGAGGAACAAGCAAGGTAACAATGTGTAAGGTACTTAGAAGAGCGTCTGCAGTAAACTGTGAGTTCTTAAATTTAATAAGTTTGACACACTCCTTCCCTGCCTGTCATCATAACCAATAATTTTTTTCCTTTGGTGTTTCTTTCTCAGATATTTTTCTGCAGGTTACCCATTGACCTCTTGGATTAGCCCTTTACTGATCAACTCCTTACGCAATTCCTTCTCTTCTGAAGAGCACAGCTTAGTCCTGCGGTCCCTACCACCACCACCACCACCACCCTCCCCCAGGAGATCTCCTTTGCCTCTGGTGTGAGCTACCACCTCATTCATTCAATCTCCCAACACATACCCTTAAGGAAGGTTCCAGTTCACGAATAGAAACCCAAGTTAATGATTTACTGTTTGCAGTACAGTCATCCCTCGGTATCCTCAGGGGATTGGTTCTAGGAGCTCTCCCCCAGGATAACGAAACCCATGGATGCTCAAGTTCCCTATATGAAAGGGCCTGGTATTTGCAAGTAACCTACACGCATCCTCCCACATACTTTAAATCATCTCTAGATTACGTACAACTAGTACAATGTAAATGCTATAAAAATCGTTGTGAATACTATGTAAATAGTTGCTAGAGTGCTGCAAATTCAAGTTTTGCTTTTTGGAACGTTCTGACATTTTTTCTTTCCAAGTATTTTTGATCCAAAATTGGTTGAATCCGTGGATGCGGAACCCAAGGATATGGAGGTTCCGTTGTACTGAACTGTGTATTAAAATTTTGCACACCAAGAATATGTTCTCACCTGATTCTCCTCACGACCAAAAGGATGCACGTGTAATAAAGCTGGTCAGGATTAAGTTTAAAGTCTATGACCAAGAACTTTCAGAATAAAATCTGGCCCTCTGAGAACCAAACTCTTACCTTCTTTATCAGCAAAATCCTACTAAAGGAGCTAAATAGACATGGATAACAACTACTAGTTAAGTTTTGACAGCACTCAGACATCTCGCTTTATAATCAAACTTTCCCATTTCCAGCAACTGCCAAGAAAATCTTCACATGGATGCTCCATCACTCCCTCAAACACCATGTCAGAAACAAAACTTTTTTCTTCCAACCTAATACTTCTCCTTTGTCTGATTCTCTCACCTCTGTCTAATGTTTTCACAGGAGATCACTGACATTTTGGAGCCCTTATTCAATATATTCAGTCAGTTGCTAAATCCTGTGGTTTCCATACTTCCTATCACTAACAGTTGTCCATCTGTCTCTGGCTATGCTTCGATCACTCCTTCCCACTTTCCTTTAAGTAACTGTAATCTTCTCACAAGCATCCTTACTCTCATTTAGCAATCCCTACATTCATTTTTATTTTATATTCTAGACTAACTTCAGCCCACACGAACTTCAGTTTAAGTGATTTTTATGAATTTGATTCTATCTCTTCTGCTTCTACCTTGTGCAGCATGAGTAGCTTCCTCACTATTTTACATCTCAACCTGTTTCATCAATGGGACACCAACACATGACTCAGACAAGTTCTCCAAACAGATCACACTGCAGCATTCCATTTCAACATATGGCTAAGAGCTTACCTGAGAAAGCCTCCGCGGATTGGTCAGAAGGAACTCAATAACCCAACAGCTACTTTGCATTCCTCCAATAATCTCCGTATAAGACTATACAGGGACTTCCCTGGTGGTCCAGTGGTTAAGAATCCGCCTTCCAATGCAGTGGACTTGGGTTCGATCCCTGGTCAGGGATCTAAGATCCCACAGGCCTCGGGGCAAGTAAGCCTGCACGCTGCAACTACCAAGCCTGCATGCCCTGGAGGCCACGCGCCACAACTAGAGAGGAGCCTGAGTGCTGTAACTAGAGAAGCCCGTGAGCCACAATGAAAGATCCCGCATGCCACAACTAAGACCCGTCGCAGGGACTTCCCTGGTAGCACAGCGGTTAAGAATCCACCTGCCGGGCTTCCCTGGTGGCACAGTGGTTGGGAGTCCGCCTGCCGATGCAGGGGACACGGGTTTATGCCCCGGTCCGGGAGGATCCCGCATGCCGTGGAGCGGCTGGGCCCGTGAGCCGCTGAGCCTGCGCGTCCGGAGCCTGTGCTCCGCAGCGGGAGAGGCCACAACAGTGAGAGGCCCGCGTACCGCAAAAAAAAAAAAAAAAAAGAAAGGACTATATAAATACAACTTGCTTATTTAAATGTAACAGAAGATCCTTGACCACATCTTTTCTAAATTCCACATTCTAATACTTTTATAATCAGTACATATCCACATCACTTGGGGGGACCTGCAATACCTAAATATTACCTGAAAAAAATCCAAAATGCCTTGTGTTCTAAACCCAGGTTCTCAACCTGTTACTCTGAATCTTAACAAAACAAACAAACAAAAAAACCTTTCCACCAAATATAAAAATAAAAAGTTACTCTCATGAAGAAGAAAAAAGTAACACAATTATTCTTCGGACAGTTTTGGGGAAATGGATTAGGCACAAACAAGATGAGAAGTAGGCAAGAAGAATAAAAAGAATAAAGATATAATCATTTTAAAGAGAAGAATTACTTTAAATGTGCTAAGTGTGTAACTGGGATAATGCAAAATTATGTATATGAACATGTAAATTTTTAAAGTAATGAGGAAAGCAGAGAATAAAAATAACTACAAATATTAGGTTACCACAAATGATCATCTATGAAAAGAGCTGAATATTATAAACAGAGATTCCATATAGCTAAGGTTCTGAGAGTTATGTTACAGCCAGAACCTTAAGAAAATAGAAGAGACACTAATACTTGGAAGGAAGCCCATGAAAACGCCGAAATCTCCTCTCATCCAAATTCTGTGCAAATATGAACCATTGTTTTTACCTCCTTTTCTAGAAACAGCTACATCTTGAGAGCCCATGTTCTCCAAAGTGAAACTACAAATCAATTTTGGATTTGCAAAGTAGTCTTCAAAATTCCCAAGCCTAAACCTTGAAAATATTAGGCTATGTGAAATAAGTCAGTTGCAAAAGGACAGATACTGTGTGATTACACTTACATGAGATATCTAAAAAAATGGTCAAACAGAAAATAGAAGGGTGGTTACCAAGGGCTGGGGAGAGGTGGGAATGAGGACTTATTGTTTAATGGACACAGAGTTTCAATTTGGGATGATGAAAAAGGTTTTGAAATGGACAGTGGTAATGGTTGCATAACAATGCAAATGTACTGGCTACTGAACTGTACACTTTAAAATGGTTAAAAATGGTAAATTTTATGTCATATCTATTTTACCACAATTTTTAAAAACACCTTAAAAAAACCCTAAGACCAAAGTAGTAATAATTCTACCATCCCAGTCTATCTCTCTACAGAAAAAAATCGTCTACATTCCTTCAACCTGGAGCCTAGTCCAAAAGAACAATGGAATATTATTCAGCCTTAAAATGGAGAGGAGGAAAAAAAATGGAGAGGTGGGCTTCCCTGGTGGCACAGTGGTTGAGAGTCCGCCTGCCAATGCAGGGGACACGGGTTCGTGCCCCAGTCCGAGAGAATCCCAGATGCCGCGGAGCGGCTGGGTCCGTGAACCATGGCTGCTGAGCCTGCGCGTCCGGAGCACAGGCTCCGCAATGGGAGAGGCCACAGCACTGAGAGGCCCGCGTACCGCAAAAAAAAACAAAAAAAAGGAGAGGAATTCTGACACATGTTACCACATGGATGAACGTTGAGGACATTATGCTAAGTGAAATAAGCCAGTCACAGAAGGACAAATCCTGTATCATCCCACTTATATGAGGTACCTAGAGTAGCCCAATTCATAGCAACAGAAACGGTGCTTGCCAGGGGCTGGGGCAAGAGGGAAATGGAGAGTTGTTGTTTAATGGGTATAGAGTTTTAGTTCTGCAAAATCAAAAAGTTCTGGAGACTGGCTGCACAACGATGTGAATATATTTAGTACTACTGAACTGTACACTTAAAACAGGATGGTAAATTTCACATTATGTGTCTTTTTACCACAATAAAAAATTATAAGAACAGGAAAATCAAGTGCCTGTCCCTTTCTTCCTCTAGGTACCATGTGTCCATGATCTAAAATATGAGATCAAGAACCATGCAGGGAAGAAGCTGCAAAGCAGTTCATAATGTTTATGGCTGCTTGCCCCCAACAAGCAAGTCATAATTTGACTCTCTAATGTAACATAACCAAGAATTCTGAAAACGTCCAACAAAAAGACTACTACTTTTAAGGGCCACTTTCAAGTAGCTACACAAGCCCTTTTTTTTTTTTGTTCAAGTCAGTTTTTAAAAATCCATCACAGATATATTAGACAGCATATCAATCCAACAAGAAAGCAGAGCGCCAATATCAGTAAATCGAAGTGTGCCTTTCTGTTAATACTCTCTCATATGTTCTCATTTTATACACCCCTTCACCCAGTCAGAAAGTAGCCCTAAAGTATTTAAGCTCCATTCAGGGATAGCACCACCATGCATCAAAGTGTCAAGAGACCTACCAGAGGTGAAATCTGCAATTCTGTGCTGCTAACCACCAAAAAAAAAAAAAAAAAAAAAAAAATGTTTATCAAAGTCAAGTCACCAGTGGCCAACACATGGACAACCTCCTGCGAAGAGATTTAGAAGCCAGAGCCCAATTCTCGTTTCTCTGTGATATTAGGGCCACATCTCCTTCTAGTAAAATTTTATGTAAAACCTGAAGAGACGATGAGCAATCCTCTGCTGGTCGCGGTAGGCCTCCTGGAAGACACAGCTGACGAGGATGAGGAAAGACTCTCTCC